ATACTTATATAAATTTTTTATCATTTATTTATTTATTTATTTTTAATAATAAAAATTTATCATAATTTTTTAGATAAAAAAATAATTATTTTTAATAAATGTAAATAAATTTTAATTATTAAAATAAAAAATAAATATTTTAAATTTTATGTAAATATAATATATAAAATTTATATGAAAATAAATCTATACTCATAAAAGAAATATAATTGCCTATTTTAAAAAACAACAATGCTCTATGTATAATAATTTTATGTATAGTACTGTATATAATATAATGAAACGTTAAATAATTGGATGTATATTAAAAAATCCCCCATTTCTTAAAATTCACCCATGTTCAAAAAAAAAGAAAAGGATGTATATATTTAATTTTAACCGTCATTATAACTCTAGTGCAATTTAGTACAAGAAAGTAACATTTTTTTGGGTATAACTTTCTCCGACTTTTTTTTATTGGAATATGCTTGGTAAATTTTGCTATGAAAATGTAAGGCTAACATAGAGGATTGAATCTGTAAATTTGATTTTAAATTAATCAAAAAATTGTTATATATACAATAAAAATCAATTACTTGATAATATAAAAGTTTAAAATTTTAATTTAGACATTAAATTAGAAATTTTAAATTAATAAATATCAATTCGGGCTAATCGATTAAAAAATCTATTTCTATGAAAATTTCCCACAAAAGACAAATTAAAAAATTTGAAATTAAATGTAAAATTGAAGGGGTAAATGTCATGGGTAGTCACCTAACTTTTCTAAATTCAATATTTTTGTTACTCAACTTAATAAAAATATATATACTTAGTCATAAAACAGGGACAGTGGTAGAAAATACAAATGGTAATCAAAAGTGAGGTTAAGTGCTACCTCATATCTAAATAGGGTCATTTTTTTTTTTAACAAATTCGTAAAAGACGGATTCGAACCGTTGCCTTGAGGTGGAGGAATGTACTTATACGTAGTTTGACGTCACTGGCCCAAAAACCCAAGTGCTAAATATGGTCATTTTGAAATATAAGATAAAATAAAACAGTAAGTGGGTGTAGTTGTATAATGAACAAAAACTAATAGTTAGGTTTTTATTTATTTATTTAATGGTTGATAATTGTAATTATTAATAATTTAAATAATTTTATTTGTTGAATTAGATAATAATTGATATTGAAACTAATAGTTGACAATCATTAACTATTAATTTCAACCTGTTTTACTAAATACTATTTTATTATTTCAAAGTGGGATCATATTAGACATGAGGTGTCACTTAGCCTTGATTTCAAAGTTTAAACACCAATTAGTTTTTTTTGTAGTGACTAATGGATATGAAACTTAAAAAGAAAAGTAAAAATTAAGATGTAATAATATTTAAATTGTCAAAATTAATGGTGAAATTATTTAAATATCTTAATAAATCTTTATTATGTGTTAATTTATTAAAGATATTTAAATATTTTCTTATTATTTTTGATATTTTAATTAATAGGAAAAAGATTAATTTTCCACAATCTCTTGTACTTGCTAAGTAACTAAAATGTTAGAAATACAAGTTAAGTTGAATAAACTGTTGAAAATAGCAAAGTCAGGTGACGCCACCCATGAGATTTATGGCAAAAACCAACATTTAGCCCCTCACCTTATAAAGTTGATAGGTTTTAGCCCCTCATTTTATAATATAACACTTTAGGCCCTTTACCTTACAAAGTTGGTAGGTTTTAACCTCTTATCTTATATTATGACATTTTTAGCCAATCACCTATACGAATTGAAGAAAATAGCTCTCACCTAATATTAAGTTATAATATTCTATTAGTAATATTAACTGACTGTTAACATCTGTTGGCATTCTGTTATAGAAAACATGAAATTTAAATTCAATTTTATATGTTAGTTCTATTAACAAAATACCAACAAATGCTAACAATTAACTAACAGTCAGTTAACAAAGCTGACAGTTAGTTAACAAAATTAACAAAATAAACAAAATATTATAACATGATATTAAGTGAAGGTTATTTTCTTCAATTTGTATAGATAAGGGGCTAAAACTGTTATAATATAAGGTGATAGGTTAAAACCTATCAACTTTGTAAGGTAAGGGGTTAAAATCTACTAATTTTATAAAGTAAATGGTTAAAAATGTCATATTATAAAGTTAGGAGTTAAAATCTATTAATTTTGTAAGGTAAAGGGTTAAAAATTAATTTTAGCCTGAGATTTAGAGATCATCGTGGCATGAGAAAGAGATTTAAAAATAGAAAAAAATTATTTCTCTTATATAATTTATAATTAAATGTATAAAAAAAAAGTCTGGAGAAATACCACGTTAATACTGACATGTCTTCTTTTTATTGGCTAATGCAAAAGATGGTCAAAACCTTCCTCCTTTCACCTTACAAGATCCGGCAAAAACCTACTTTGTGTCCCTTACCTTATATTATAATTCTTTTAACTCCTCATTTTATCATATTTGTAAGTTTTAATTCCTCATCTGTTAAAATCAAAGAAATAGCATACTAACGGTTAACTTTGTTAGTTAAAAATATATTTTTGTCAATTAACAGTCAACTAATAATCAATTAATAAAATTAACGAAATATTATAAAATTAGTTATGTTAACTCTAGTAGTCGAAAAAAGGTTTTTATAATTAACAGTCAATTAACAATCAGCTAATAAAAATAATAAAATACTATAAAGTGAAAACTATTTTCTTCAATTTTAATAAGTGAGGGATTAAAAGCGTCATAATATAAGATGAAATATTAAAATCTACAAATCTAATAAAGTGATAAGATAAAAATGTCATAATAAGAAACGAAAATCTTCAAACTTGATAAGATAAGAAGTTAAAAACAAGCTTTTACCACAAGATCCAGACCCAAACCACATTCGGCACTATATGACCTAATTACCATCCTTTTGTGACTTTGTGAGAACATACTTGGATATGAAAGTCCTGGATATTCCCTGGCACTTAACAATTTCCCTGAGTCACACAAAAAAAAAAAAAAAAAAAAAAAATCCAGACCTAGAAGGCTAGAACCAATCACAAAATCCCAACCTCCAATGTCACATGCCTCACGCGCTGCGCTGACAGTATTAGATATTTAGCCCGACAGATTATTGTCCTTCTTCTTTTTCACCTCTGCAAGGACCCGAAGACTTAAAAAAACTCTGAGAAGAATAGGAAAAATGAAATGGTAACAAAAGCCGGAATCCTTTCTTCGAAACGCACTTCCTCCAGGTTTTCGTCGTCATCTGCTGATCCACTCCGCCGACCAGCCGCCGCCGTCATGCTCCGACTCTTCGTTATCTGCTTCTTCCTCTTCCCTCTCGCACTCGCTTCCGAATCCGATCACAAGGTAAACGCACTCACGCTTTGTACAGATCTTGATGCTTGGATCTTTTACGCATTCATTTGATCTCTGGATTTCACTTCAGATCTAAACTAAATTACTTGATTCACTCGTATTGTGTCGCTTGTGCTGAGAATGTTCGGTGTCTAATTCTGTCGATTTGTGTATTGCGTTTTGAGCATAATTTCTAGTTATGGTAAACTAGTACGGTGTAAAGAAGCACATCTGATGCTGAAATTGAGCCAATGGCGACAGGGCAGTATCTGAAGCATCTAGTTGATTTTACTTACCGTCTTATTTTGGTTTATTCAATCATTATCGTTAGATTTGGTAGGTTTTCAGTTTCTTGAGCGTGGCAAATCTAGGGACTGTTGTTTTTTGCTCTGAAATTGTTGAAGTTCTGTCAGTGTTTCTAAGTCTGACACAGCTGTGACCTGAATTGAGGTGGCATTGAATTGTGATGACCACCTTGTTTTGGCTGATGCAGGGAAGGTTGGATAGAACAAACAGAAAAAACTAAGGCAAAATTGAAGATAGAACCAAGTTGATTAAATTAACGGGATAAAATAGAATAAGGGGTTCATATAAATTTGATGGTGTGAACTGATTTATTGTCAGAAAGTCTTCTGTGTTTTCATGCAAGAAGTGTACTTCCTGAAATTTTACGTCTCTTCTTTGTTTTACCTGCAGTATCAAGTGGATGATCGTGTCATCCTATGGGTGAACAAGGTTGGACCCTATAATAACCCACAAGAAACCTACAACTATTACAGTCTTCCTTTTTGTCGGCCACCCGGTGATGCAGCCCACAAATGGGGTGGCCTTGGAGAAGTTCTTGGTGGAAATGAGCTTATTGATAGTCAAGTTGATATAAAGTTTAAAAGTATGTACCCTTCTATTCCATAGATCTTATCTTTGAAATCTAAAACTTCTAATTGGATGACTCCATTTGGCAGAAAATGTGGAGAAGAAGACAATTTGTTCACTTGAATTGGATGAAGCTAAGGTTAAGCAATTTAAGGAAGCAATTGAAAATTCATATTGGTTTGAATTCTTCATTGGTATGTATTGCGTTGTGGTATTCCTTCAATTTAGTGCACTTTAGCTTGTGTTCTTGTTTACAGCTTATGTTGGACAAATTTTGACTATATTTTCTGTGTTGCCACTCTTAATCTTTCTTCCTCCTTCTCATGCAATGTGCTGATTCCTGATTCAGATGATTTGCCTCTATGGAGTATGTATTCTTTGACTTTAGCCTTTTCATTTTATAGTTTCATCTGTTTCTGGACCATTCTTAAAGTAATATAATTGTATCTTGATGATGATCAGGGTTTGTTGGTGAGGTACATGCTGATAAAAACAATGACAACAAGCATCTGCTGTTCACTAACAAGTATTTTGTTATCAAATACAATGGTGATAAGGTTAGCTTTTTAATTTTTTTCTTATGTGTTTGTAGAATATCTTGAAACTTTTTATGTATATAACTTCTATCATGCTATCCGTTTCAGATTATCCATGTTAATCTTACTCAAGAGAGCGCCAAACCTTTGGTAGAGGGAAGAGTTTTAGACATGACATATTCTGTTAAATGGATTCCAACAAATGTCTCTTTTGCACGTCGTTTTGATGTGTACCTTGACTATCCTTTCTTTGAGCATCAGGTGAAGATTTGCTGATGCAGGTTTTATTTTGCTTGCATTTATGTACTGATATATTCATTTGAGTTTTTAATGCATAAAGCTTCATAACTTTAGTTGCAAAAATATAATCTCAAGTTATTAGTGGCATGTTACTTCTCACTCTGGGATCTATGACAACATTGATAAGAATACTGTCATCAAATGTAGTTCATGTTTCTATCATCTGTAACTGCCAATCTTTCGCAGGATTAGTTTAAGTAATCTTCTAAACGGCAACTGTTTTCTGCAGATCCACTGGTTTTCTGTTTTCAATTCCTTTATGATGGTTATATTCCTCACTGGATTGGTGTCCATGATTTTGATGAGAACCCTGAGAAATGACTATGCCAAATATGCTCGTGAAGATGATGATTTGGAGACTCTGGTAAGGCTAAATAGATGTGGAGGATTTTTTGCATTGCAAATTAACTTGATATCATTGCCTTGTCCCAGTTATAATATTTATAGCCTGATGATGCCTGCTTAACTCTATGATTTGCAAATTAACTTGATTTTACTGTTTTAGGAGAGGGATGTAAGTGAAGAATCTGGTTGGAAACTTGTTCATGGAGATGTTTTCCGGCCCCCTCGCAATTTAGCTTTACTTTCAGCTGTTGTTGGCACTGGTGCACAACTGGCAATGCTTATTCTCCTTGTCATTGTATTTGCTATTGTTGGGACGTTATACATAGGGTATGCTGAAAATTTTTCATGATTTTTTTTTTAATCTTTTTTTTCTTCAATTCATCAGCTAATTGAATTAAGGTTGGCCAATCAGGAACTTGAACCTGGAATTCTAGTCCTTTTTCTTTCTTTAGGAAAAAAAAAATTATTTAGATGTGAGATGCACTATCAGAATTTTATTCTTTCTTATAACATTCTACCTGCATTGACAAATGTTGTCCAGGAGAGGAGCAATTGTAACAACTTTTATAGTATGTTACGCATTTACATCATTCATTTCTGGTTACGTGAGTGGTGGCATGTATTCCAGGCATGGCGGTATGTAATTGACCTTAATTATCCTTTTCTTTTCTCCAGTTGAAGACTTCAAGCATACCTAATATGGTGTTCTTCATAATTTGAGTGGCTTAAATTGTTAGCTTATATCATTACATTTATGATAGGTTTACTAAACACTTACTTGTCTTTCTCTTCTCAGGCAAAACCTGGATTAAGGCAATGATTCTTACGGCTTCCCTTTTCCCATTTATGTGCTTTGGCATTGGGTTCATCTTGAATACTATTGCCATATTTTATGGATCTCTAGCTGCTATTCCTTTTGGTACAATGGTAGTTGTTTTTGTCATTTGGGCATTCATCTCCTTCCCACTCGCACTCCTTGGAACAGTCATTGGTAGGAACTGGAGTGGTGTTCCTAACAATCCATGCCGTGTGAAGACCATTCCTCGTCCAATTCCTGAGAAGAAATGGTATCTTAAACCATCTGTCATCTCTTTAATGGGAGGACTGCTTCCCTTTGGCAGCATTTTCATTGAGATGTATTTTGTTTTCACATCATTCTGGAATTACAAGGTAAATCTACTTTTTTTTTAGCACTTAAAAGTTTGTGGAGAATATTGTAAGATAGTTGTTTCATTCATTACCATGGATTTATGCAGAAACAAGTTTTTACTTCTTTGAAATATCAAAACTTTGGGAGTTAAATAGGTTCTTGTCAAAACAGTATTTGTTGGTGAGGCTTGACTTCTTTGAGGCTTCCATTGTTTGAAAAATGAGTGCAATCTGCACCATCATGTTAACATTTGTGACAATCAACCTCCTTGCTATAGAAGGCTCTTGTGGATGGGGGCCCCACCTTGCATCTTTTCCTCAAAGACTAATAGAAGCTGAACTCAATAAAAGTTTTGTTTAATTTCTCCTTTTACATGGGTGTCTTGGAAGAGTCATCCATTTGCATTTCTCATAATGTTTTTGCATTCATGAATTTAACCTGTGCATTTAGACTAGTGGGCCAAATAGTTTCTCTTTGCCTGAAATGGACCATGACAAGGGGGTAGCAGTCTCTCGATGTTTTTGAGTAGTTATATTTTTTTTTATGGGTTTTTAAACATTCTAGTGGCATTTTGTTGAGTTAGGTAGGGAAATCACTTAGATTTGTCACAAGAGAACCCTTTTTGACCATTGGCCTAGTTATTTCCATTTGAAATTTTAAATTTGATTAAACCAACAGTTTAACTTTCAATTAAACAGTCATGTTTGATAGTTGTATTACTGAAATTAGAACCTGAAGTGTTTAAAACCATCTAGTATTCTGTTGATTTTAAAAGCCAGAATATGCCTTAAGAAACGATTGAAAAGGTTTCAGATGCTGTCCAATGTTCTTGTTATGATGATTATCAACTAGTGAGTAGAGTGAGCTATGCTCTGTCATGCGTTTATGTCTGTATTCATCATGTCAACTCTAATCTTGTGAAGTCACTTGCATTGATCTAGTATCATTACTGCAATTGGTCATATAAAGTTCACTATTCTGACCATCGTTTGCACTAATTGCTTATTTATGCCTTTTTCCTAATGTGCTTAACAGGTGTACTATGTCTACGGGTTCATGTTGCTTGTTTTTCTCATCCTGATAATTGTTACCATATGTGTGACAATTGTGGGGACATATTTCCTGTTGAATGCTGAAAACTATCACTGGCAATGGACCTCATTTTTCTCTGCTGCTTCCACAGCTTTCTACGTGTATCTATACTCTATATATTACTACCATGTGAAAACCAAGATGTCAGGGTTTTTCCAGACGAGCTTCTATTTTGGGTACACATTGATGCTCTGTCTTGGTTTAGGATTACTTTGTGGTAAGTGTCTTATTCACAAACTATTTTTCTTCTGTTATCCATTAAGTTTTGATGTTTTCTTAATTCTTTGATGTTTTTGGAATTTCAGGAGCAGTTGGTTACCTAGGCTCCAAGTCATTTGTCAGGAGGATCTACAGAAATATCAAATGCGACTAATGAATTATTTCAAGGCTGATCGAATCTGTCTTGTGGCAAATGTGTGAGAGAAGTACACAGATCTGAAAGTGGACTGATACCAGAAAACATGCTTTGATTATTGGGTGTTCCATGGGATGGGAGGGTCTCAGCTTTACCTAAATGTATACTTTATGTCACTGAACAAGTTACAAATTTTCAGCTAGAATATGGAGAATTTCTCCGTCCTAAGGAGTAGGAGTAGTGAGATTGTATGCCTGTCAAATGTATACCCGTAAGCTACTGATTTTGTTTTCTTCTTCCATTATTTTAAACTAGAGCAGCAAGCTGTTTCATTTAGCATCAATTACTACCATAATTTCTCAGTGATTATGTGTAATTTTAGTGAGAGGGGTTTAAATTTTTTTTAAATAAAGTTTTAAGTTGGAATTTTGTAAATAAAAGTTTAAACCTTTTAATTTAGTCTTGTAAATATTGTATAGATTTTTATTTTAGTTTTTGAACTAAAAAAATCATTGGTTTGGTTTTCATTGTTTATCAATTTAGTTTTAACTTAGTTTTTTTTACAAAAATAATTAACATGTTTTGTTATTAATATGATATATGA